TATTTTTGCGGTTTCCTGTTTTTGATAAGAAATTTCTTGTGGAGTAAATCTGGCCTGCAGAGGATGACTCCTTAATTTAGCACTAATTTAGTGCCAAGAAAAGAGGGAACAAATGAACTGGACAAAGATGTTTGCCTTTTCCTTTGGAAGTTAGTATTAGGTTATAATATTGTCTGTCAGACCATTAAGATGACATTCAACAATTTTCCTTGTATAATTGACCCGATCCCAATTGCGTAGCAAAGTGATGGAGTGGAGAGGACTGCACCCAGCAAGTCAAGTTTAGATTTATGCCCAGTTTGATAACTCAGTTCAACACTTAAATTTAATGGATTCAGATATTAATATATTCAAATCATTTGATAACCTAAAATTGAACATCTGAATTAATTAAATGACACTGAATTTTCTAAGCAAAACTTGCTCTCAAAATTAAGCGATAAGCTAGTCACTTATTACTAAATATGATATGCACTCAAATGTACTAAATTTAATATTTAACAATTCAATAAGTTAATGAATTTAAATTTCAGACTTCAACTTTATCAAACGCACCTTTAATCGAGTCAATCTCGACTTAAATTTTTGGCTCGAACTTAAACTGAAAATCAATTGAGTACCTATGGTTCGACTCATGTTCACTAATTGATCTCGAGTATATAACTGTAATCTTTTCTGAAATTGAATTTATTGGCAGGTGGCCATAATGATTAACGAAAGTACAAGACTGTATACCTTTTTTTTTTTTTTTGGTTCAATGAACTTTCAAGTGAAATAACTTTGGCCCAAGCTCGGTTCGAGCCTTTTATCAAGTTACTCAAAACTTGAGCTGAGCTAAGCCACTGCCAATATCAGGCTCAGTTTGGAAGAAAAATTTACATAAAAAAATGGAAACAAAATTTCTTAATACATCAACCAGTCTAACTTAAAAGCTCAAACTCAAGGACTTAATGTGTTAGTTTCAAGACTAGAAATAATGATTTTCTTCATGGCAATTTATGGGAAGCATATTAGTGAGTCAAATTAAAAATAATTATACAAGATTGGGGTGGTTTATTTTCGTCAGGGTATATTATGGGTTGAATTTCAGTATAATTCTAGAAAAAAAAGGTATGGTCAAGAGGCAGCAAAGAAAGATTGAGTGTTTAACCGAGGCGGATGTTCTGGCCAGGCGACTTCGGTGTTGAATGAGGTGGTGCTTTGTGTAGCTCCTTAGCAGTGTTTGATTGATTATATTCATCTGTCAACTTAATCAGCGTGATTTTGCTTCTTTCTGATTTTCATTTAGAGTTTTGCTTGTACAATTTCTAGTGGGCACCAACTGAGCTGTGATGCCATTTTGAGCAATAAATTAGCATGGGTACACAAAACCAAAACGCGACCTGAGATGGGTTTTGGGACTAAAAGAATATGGGGGTATAAATTGTATCCTTTTCAAGGTGTGAGATTGAAAAAAGTTGAGATGTGAGAAACTACTTTATGATGCAAAGGAAATATTATTTGAAATAAGTATTATTTGGCTAAAAAAAGTCTTATTTGACTAATTCGTGCAGTATTACTTTTCTTCGAATGGGGACCCGTTTGGGGGTCTTACAAGTTACAACTTGACCAATGATACTCCCATGTCCATGGTTAGAAATGTGCCAACAAAGTCCAGAATTAGCCATAGAGGTTTTTTCACATTCATGAAAGCAACGCCGCGGATTAACTCATTTATTATCATGGTCCTCATATTGCGTTATTATTTTGATTTATAGTTGTTGCTGTTTTTCATAATTTTTTTATAAGAAATTTCTATTTTGGTCAATTTTTTTTTTATTTATCAACACGATAAATTCTATATTACAATTACTCCCACTCTATATTAGGAGGAGGGGGACATAGAGAGATTGAGGGGAACCCGGTGAACTACCATCGGTTCAGATAGATACTTATGCACTGACTGGCAAAATATTTTTAAAAAAGCTCGGATCCTAGAACGTAGGTCAAAAAATTTGATCCTTTGACCTGTTCACAAGTAGAGCTTTAATGCTCTGTTTCGGTCAATTTGGGCAGTGGAAATTGAAATGAAGTGCAAAGTCATCAAAATTGGAGCGCAGGTTGTGGGGACCAAGAATTAAAGGAAAGATGGTAGCATAGTAGCGGACCTTACACTTTACTTTGGAAGAAATTATGACTCCAAGTCCAGAGTGTGAAGGATATTACTTTGGTCTTAAATCCTGCAAGTGTGAAGGATATTTTAGTCCTACTGCTTGTTCAATATATTACTCAGAGTGTTATATTAGAAGGTGCTGATTAAAAGATTAAAGGTGGTGTTACCAGGGGCTGAGCTAGGATAGTATATTCAGTGGGGGCATAAATTTATTTATAGCAAGTAGTAGCTAGCAAGTAGCAATATATATTTTTAATAACTATCATAAGAGAATGGGAGGACCCTATTAAAATCCTATAATTCCCTATTAATATCCTATATTAGGCGGAGTGCCCGTGCATCGTGCGGGTGTTTAGTGCCTGTCATTAGAGAAAATTTTTCATTGGACAAATAATAGCACATTTTGGAAAACAATAATCATCAAATATGACAAAACTAATAATAGTACATTCTAATTGTAGCATATGCTTGTACACTTTATTTTATCAATACTTTTACAATTTTACCATTCCCAAAAGGTCCCTACAAATGTCAGTTAAAGATCGTCCAAGAGCAGATATAAGTTGTTTCAAACAAAGGAATATCCTCCAATGGCTAATTATAACAACGTGTTAATTACACAACGTATTAATATATCTATGTGCTAATTGCACAACAAAAGCCATACTTTAATTAAATATGTCTATAACACCATTTCAATAATTATACTAACACATAATCTTATATGAGTTGTACTCCATGCAAAAATGATTGCAAAATAATTTTACATTCCAGAAATAGCTAGATGTCTTCATAAATCAAAACTTTAAATGTATCAAAATGAAGGCATTTCGATAAATATACCTAAACGCATGCTACTCTTAACTGTACCTAAAGTTTTAAAAATACTACAAAATATTCCACATTTCCAGAATGCCTCTATCTATGCGGTTAAAATTCGAACTCCTTTGACCACAACTCATTCAAATATTGTATAAGGAATTCGTTTGAGTATGAAGAATTTTTGTGTATAGAAAAACTCACTAGCTAATTGTACTCCTTAATGTATTGGGCTTGCACTGGTAGGAATCATTAACTGATAAATTATATCTGTTATTTTGCTTTCTTAATAAAGAATTGCTATCATTATCAAAAAAAATAAAGAATTTCTATCAAGTCGTTTATAGATACGTCCACGTGGACATTGTACAAGTTAACTGGTTAAGTATATAAAGTTTCTAGTACCCGACACCTAAAATGTCAGTGGGGGTACAATTAGAAAGTAATAGGACAAAACTAAATAGGAAAATGATCATTTTCATCCCTTACCTTTTACAAAAATATTTTTTTTGTTTCTCACTGTTAAAATAAAACAAATTCATCTTTCACATTTAAAAACTGAAACTATCACTTTCCTAAAGTCAACTTTTAATATGAATCCAACCACCAACAACCCAATTACAAATTTTGGAGGTATAATTGATAGATTATTTGGTTAACTCAACTTGATATTTACATGAAATTTAATGAACCCAAAAAGGAAAAATAAAAAATTATTACATAAAAAGAAGGATTAATTTTTCCTACATTGTCATTTTATACACTGATGGGTCTAAATACTTGCCACATCATTTCAATTTAAATTTAAACACCAAACTTTGTATGTGTGATAACATCTAAACTCGTAAGTGTATACTCTAATAGCATATAAAAAGATTTTTTTTTTAAAAAAGAAACCCTACTATTCCAAAATAAAGAACGGCCTTTTATGTTATAATTTTTTAATTTTTTCCTTTTTTGGTTCAATAAATGTTATGTGAATGTGATAAAGTTGACCGAATAATCTATCAATTCTATCCCCGAAATTTATTACTAGATTATTAGATGGTTTGATTCATATTGAAATTTGGATTGAGAGATGTTATCTATTCAATTTTAAATGTTAAAGATGAATTTGTTTCATTTTAAAAATGAGAGATGAAAAGAATATTTTTACGAAAATCATATAAAATCACATAATATATTAAGGACCATAGACGGATCTAGAGAACAGTGAAAGAGCAGACAAGATCTAGAAAATTGTTTATTCCCCGTAAAATATGAGAATTGATTCTTTAAATATAAAAAGTTTTGATCTTATAAGATTTTTTTTTAAGATTTCTTTATTCGAATTCACTCTTTAGATATAAAATACTTTTGATCTCACAAAATTTTTAGAAGGCAGTGAGGGGCAATCAAAAATGGCAACTCCCCGTACAATATGAGTCTTCATTCCTATCAAAAGTTTCGACCACACAAATTTTTTAAAGATTTTTCATTAATTACAACATTCAAATTGGTATAAAGCTTGCCCCTTCAAATTAAAAGTATATGCATCCAAACATTTAAAAGAAAGAAAATTTATTCACTTTTTAAAAATATCATGAGTTTTTTTAAGAGTTTCAGCAGAATTTAGTCTCAAATTCTCTTGAGGCATAAACTTTAACTCAAAATATCAATCATGATGATGAAGTTACAAAACTGAAACATACCTTTCAATTATGGTGAAAATTAAAATAATAAAACAGTCTTCGATCTCAATCTGTCCCTTGCAATCCATCTTCAGTTTTTATTTCAATCTGAAATTATTGGTTAGCAACAATTCCAAAATTGTGAAAAACGTTTACAGATACCAAAATCAGGACAAAGAAAGGTGCACTCAAGACAAAGGACACCGTATAAAATGAGAGGAGTAGATTGCCTCCTTCAGGCCCAGGAAAACTTGACCACATATTGGTCATTAGATATTTGATGTGCCATGGGTGCTTTACCTAATTAGAAAAAAGATGAATTATAGCATATAAATAGGGACACGTATATGGAGATTAGTGGCAGTGTAGTGTTGAAGAAACAATATGGGCATTCCACATGTACTGGCCATACCTTATCCAGCACAAGGTCATGTACTTCCCCTAATGGAACTTGCCTTGTGCCTAGTCAAGAGTAGTATCAAGGTTACATTTGTGAACACGGAATTTGATCACAAACGAGTCATTGAATCATTATCAGGTGAAGGAAATGTACCAGATATGATGCATCTGGTATCTATCCCAGATGGCCTGGAATCCTGGGAAGATAGAAATGACCTGGGGAAGTTAACAAAGACAATTTTTCGTGTTATGCCTGCAAAGTTGGAGGCTCTAATGGAGAAGATAAATGAATCTGAAACTGAGAAAATCACATGCCTTATTACTGATGAGAGCATGGGTTGGGCACTGGAGATCGCGAAGAAAATGGGAGTCAAGGCTGTGGCCTTCTGGCCTGCAGCAGCAGCTGTATTGGCTCTGGAACTCAATATTCCAAAGTTCATTGATGATGGAATCATAGACAGCTCTGGTAAGACTCCTTTCAGCATAATGCTTTTACAGTTTCAACACTTCTGCATAAGCTCTTAAAGTCCTCATAATCATGGAACGGTGAAACAATATTAAGCTGACCAGAATTGGAAGCTATGAAGCTAGAAATCATAATGCAAGCAAAGTAACAAACTCATAGGAAACAGGGTGGTGAAATTTGGTTGCTGCAAAATAGGTTGAAAGTTGAAAACATATCCAAGTGAATTAGATTTTTACCAATGCAAGGAAATTTTAGCAGCAAAAAAAAAAGTATTGCCGAAACAGTGATTGCCAAATTTGACATTGAGTGTGGCAAATTTTGTCGCAGAAAGTGTCTTGAAGAAGCAGATGGTTCAGTTATCACCTACCATATGAGCTATGGACTCTGCACACTTTGTTTGGGCCTGTATTGGTGATCCGACCACACAGGGAATTATTTTTGATGTTATATTAAAAAATATCAGAACACTAAAATTGGCTGATTGGATTATCTGCAACTCAAGTAATGAGTTAGAGGCATCAGTCTTCACCTTGTACCCAAAAATGTTACCTATAGGTCCTCTTCTATCTAGCAACTGTTGGGAAATCGGGTAATTTTCCACTCAAAATACAACTAGTGATTAAACCGATTCACTAATTCTCAAGAAAGATCATTGAAACAATCTCCTTAGACAGAATTACCATTCCAAGTAAATTCTCAGGAAAGGCTGGAGGGGTCACAAGCGGTCCCACTTAAAACCCAGTCTCTTACACAGAATTTATGTGCACGGTGTATTATCACAACTAGACCCGTGTATACATAAATAATACGTACACATGAATAATAAGATACACCCAAATGAACCGTATAAAACACTACAAATAAACCCGACAAATATATATTGAATACTATACTACAATAGAAAAGAAACTACTAAACAAATGCGGAATAAATAAAAAGAGATAAGGAAAGAACGCACCCGAAAATTGATAACGGAGTTCGGCCAATTTTGCCTACTCTCCGAGTACCACTCAAGCAGCCTGCTCTTATACTTTAGGAGAAGAAAAAATTACAAAAAAATTACAAAATCCTTTTTGGGTAATTCTTTTGTTTTTGGTACATCTCAATTGGGAGGACTGGAGAGCTAATTTATAGCTCTCAAGCAATCTCTCAAATGCTAAGCTACCCGATGTGGGACTAAGAAATGTTTGCCAAAAATCAACAAATATGGGCTATTCAAAGTCAATAATTTAGGTTTTGAATTCAACAAATCTCCACCTTGACATAATTTCTAATCCCACCCAAAAATACAAATCTTCTCACCCAAACAAAAAATCAAACGGTCCTTGCGGTGCTTCCAAATTTGCGCCCTCAGGCACCAACTCAAATGTGCAGGATGTTAACCAAGTTTAAACAATGTTCAAACTTGGCTCTTGTAACCACCTTGGTCAGCATATCTACAGGATTCTCCGTAGTCCGAATCTTCTGGAGAAAAATCTCCTCTTTTTTCGAGAATTTCCCGCACAAAGTGATAGCGAATATCAATTTGTTTTGTTCTTGCGTGCAAGACTTGGTTCTTTACTAAGTGAATAGCACTCTGACTATCACAAAACACGTCAATGTGTTTTTGACCAACTTCCAAATCTTCAAGCAATCCTTGAAGCCAAATTGCCTCCTTCACAGCTTCTGTAATCGCCATATACTCTGCCTTCGTTGTAGACAAAGCCACCGTTGACTGCATAGTAGACTTCCAACTAACTGGCACCTTAGCAAACGTGAACAAGTAACCAATTCTAGAACGTCGCTTATCCAAATCACCTGTATAGTTAGAATCACAATATCCAACTACACATTGACCAAGTGATTTATCCTGCTCAAATACTAATCCAACATCTACGGTATTTTAGATATACCGGTAGAATCCATTTCACAACTTGCTAATGACCCTTGCTCGGATAATGCATAAACCTGCTTACCACACTAACTGCCTGTGAAATGTCGGGTCTCGTACACACCATTGCATACATCAAGCTATCAACTGCATTAGCATACGAGACTTTCGCCATGTATGTTCGCTCTTCATCCGTCTTTGGAGACAATAGGCTACTAAGTTTCAAATGAGGAACAAGTAGAATACTTACAAGTTTTGAATTTTCATTCATGCCAAAACGTTGTAGTACTTTCTTTAAATACTGTTTCTGTGTCAGACAAAACTTGCCTCTCGTTCTATCTCTGCTTATCTCCATTCCGAGAATCTTCTTGGCTTCTCCCAGATTCTTCATCTCAAACTCTTTACTCAACTGAGCCTTCAATTTGTCAATTTCAACTTGGCTCTTTGATGCTATCAGCATATCATCAACGTACAAGAGTAAGTAGATGTAGGACTCATCTCGTAACTTGCGCAAATACACACAGTGATCGTATTTGCTTCTTGTGTACTTCTGACCCATCATGAACTGGTCAAATCGTTTGTACCATTGTCTCGGTGATTGTTTCAATCCGTACAACGATTTGCTCAACTTACAAACCCAATTTTCTTTACTAGCAACTTTAAATCCATCTGGCTGAAATATATAGATTTCCTCCTTCAAGTCACCGTGAAGGAACGCGGTCTTCACATCAAGTTGAGCTAGCTCCAAATTCAACTGCGCTACCAAGGCCAATAAAATTCTAATAAAGGAATGTTTAACAACTGGAGAAAATACCTCATTATAATCAACTCCCTCCTTTTGAGTGTAGCCTTTAGCTACCAATTTTGCCTTGTAGAGAACATCATTCTTGTCAGAAAATCCTTTTTTCTTTGCAAATATCCATTTGCATCCAATTGCCTTCTTACCCTTCGGTAATTGTGTCAACTTTCACGTCTTGTTTTTCTGAAGAGATTGCATCTCTTCTTCCATAGCATCTTTCCATCTATCATTTTCTGTATTTCGAACTGCTTCAGAAAATGTGGATGGAATATCATTAATAACTGGAAGTGCATAGGCCACCATGTCAACAAAACGAGCAACTTTATGAATTTCTCGTCTTGCCCTATTGACGGCAATTGACTCTTGCTGCTGTTGAGGTTCTTGGGTTGAAACCTATTTCTCATCTGACTCCTCTTCTGCCATGGGAGAGTCATTGATAGTGTTGTTTGCTGGACTCACCATTATTTGTTCAAACTCCACCTGTTTCGGCATACACTCCACCTGTTGTGGAGTACCACTGGTCCCATCCTGTGTTACCTTATTCAACATGGCAGATTCGTCAAAGGTAACATCCCTGCTGATAATGGTCTTCTTTGCTTCTAGACACCACAAACGGTATTCCTTAATTCCATTAAAGCCCATAAAAGAGAGCTTTCTTTGCACGTGGATCCAACTTTGATTCGTTTACATAATAATATGCAGTAGAACCAAAAATACGTAAAGAATCATAATCTGTTGTAGGTTTTCCAGACCATACCTCTAATGGAGTCTTGTCACCTACTGCAGATGATGGCAAGCGATTGATGAGATGTTAAGCGTATGTCACAGCGTCAACCCAAAACTTTCTGCCTAACCCAGCATTAGACAGTATGCAATGTATTTTCTCCACTAGTGTCTTGTTCATACGCTCTGACACCTCATTTTGCTGTGGTATTTTTCTAACTGTGAAGTGCCAAACTATGTCACATTCTTGGCATATCTTCTGGAAGGGATCACTCTTGTATTCTCCACCGTTGTCTGTTCGGAAGATCTTGATCTTTCTTTCCATTTGATTTTCTACCTGAGCTTTCCATTTAAGGAAAATCCCTAACATCTCATCCTTGCTCTTCATAGTAAACACCCAAACTCTTCTGGAAAAATTATCAATAAAAGTGACAAATAATACCTACCACCAAGGGATAGAGTCTTGGTAGGTCCCCACACATCTGAGTGCACATAATTCAAATACCCTTGGTATTGTGGATACCAGTGCCAAATTTCACTCTTCTTTGTTTTCCCAGAACACAATGCTCACAAAATTCTAATTTGCAAACTTTCGTACCTTTCAATAATCCTTGTTTAGGAAGATTTTGCAAGGATTTTTCACCAGCATGTCCCAATCGCATGTGCCACAACTTTGTTGCCTCAGCATCCTTCTTGCTACTGGAAGACGTTGCTGCTGCTACTGTCCTAACCACTGTACTACCTTGGTAGTAATATAAATTATTCTTTCTCACCCCTTTCAACATCACAAGTGCTCTCGAAGTTACTTTAAGAATTCCATCTCGCATCTTCACTTCCAAGCCTTTTGACTCCAAGAGTCCCAAGGAGATGAGATTCTTCTTAAAATTCGGCACGTACCGAACATCCTTCAATATTCTAGTGGATCCATCATGATTACGCAGCTTGATTGAACCTATTCCATCTGTTCTACATGGATTGTCATTTCCCATTTACACAACTCTACCATCAAATTCTTCAAATTCAAAGAACCACTCCTGCATAGGAGGCATATGATAGGTACAAGTTGAATCCAAAATTCACTCATCTGAATGGGATGTCAAAGGTGATACAACTAAAGAAAAATCTGATTCCGCAGCACTTTTGCATTCTGCAACATTTACATCTTGCGGAGCTTTTCCTTTCTTCTTTAATTTGGACAGTCTTTCTTCCAGTGCCCTTTCTCACGATAGAAATCATATTCATCTTTGGCAACTCTACTTTTCGATTTGGATCTTTTTCTTCTCCCCTTTGATTGGCTTTGTTGACGACCTCTTGCCACTAACGCTTCATCTGCTGTAGCTACTTTATTCTTCCTTTTATCCTACTTTCTCAATTTATTACTATACAAATCAGAACATACAGTATCTAAAGACACATTTTTCTTCCCATAAAGTAACGTAGTTTTCAAATATTCAAATTCATCAGGAAGGAACGACAACAATATCAAAGCTAAATCTTCATCTTCAAAATTTACATATAAATTTAACAGGTCTGCTACTAACTGATTAAACATAGTGATGTGTTCATTCATAGTAGTACCTGGTTGGTAATCGAATCGAAACAATCTTTTCTTCATTAGGAGTTTATTCTAACCACTCTTCTTCAGAAATTTCTCCTCCAATGCCCTCCACAATTTCCATGCAGAAGTTTCATTCTTGAAAGCATACTTTTGCTCTGGCTTGTTAAGTTCGTGGACCCAGAAGGAAAATTGCCATGCAAATTATTATAAGACAATGCCAACATATAAAGAGCTAAACATCCAGTTCCAATTTGACCTGGCACCTCCCCTGAAAACTTGTTGTGGGACAAATCAATTGATATTGCCCTTGTCAAGTTTCCCAATGAGTGGGGAATATTGGCTTCAAATGAATTTCCTGACAAATTCAAGTACCACAGCAATGGAAAAGATAAACCGATATTTTGAGGAACCTTACCACTGACGTCATTGTTTGAGAGGTCTAATCGCCTTAGACCTATTTCCAGAGAATCATCCACAAGAAACGGACCCGTCAAAGAGTTATCCTTTAGAACAAGAACTTCAAAGTTTGTATTATTTTGCAGAAGCCAAGTAGGAATCTGGCCGACTAACTTATTGGAAGAAAGATCAAGAACATGCATTTCTTTCTGATAGAGCAGGAAACTTGGGATTTTTCGAGTCTGATTATTCAAGTTGCAGCCAGATAAATAGAGAGCCTTTAGCTGAAATGGTGGGGGCAGAGCAAGATCCTCAGTGTCGACATGTGAATCATTGTTCAAAGGTCCAAGTTCGAACACCTGAAGCTTCGAATGGTTGGCCAAAGAACTGAAAGAGAAAGAACCTCCAAACGGGTTACCAGAGAGGGAGAGAAACTCAAGGTGTATGAGAGGAGTAATAAGAGCTGCAGGTATGTTTCCGCTGAGAATATTGTTGAAGAGATCAAGAACTCGAAGAGACGTCAAGTTTCTGAAGCACATAGGAATAGGCCCGTAAAACTTATTGTCACTCAGTTGAAGTTCATCGAGATTCTTCAAACTGCAAATTCCTGTCCAAAAAACAAGTTCATTGTAAGCTTTTCATACAGTAATAGTTGATGCTAGGTATGACTTGTCAATATATAGCCAATTCAGAAACCATGAAATCATATGTTACACGCAAAAAAATTGAAATGTTGGTTTCCAAATTTCATCCGTTCTAGCTCAACATTTGAAAAGTAAATAGCAACTTCATGCAAGCAACCGAGCCTTTCACAGCCTATCTTATTACCTTGAAGGACGGAGGAATCATTAATACCAATTCTGCTCAAAGATAAGGCATTGAGAGAAGTTAAAGCCTCAATGTCTGAGAGTTTGTTAAATTTTGTATATCCAAGATTGAGTACCTTCAAGTTCTCCAGCTTCAATTCTGCAGTTCAAAACTTTATGGTAGTGTTATAGTTTTGGATATATCAAAATTACATAACTATTGCTGCATCTCCATTCCCTATTCTATAAGAATTTGTATATTTCAAACAAGGTAAATTATGCCACAGGTCGACAAAATTTTCAAAGTCTTATTTAATCCACTATACTATTTTTTCACGTCAATGATGCATTGAACAGCTAAAAAGGATCAAATTGGGCTATTCTATCCATTTGCTCGATTAAAATAGACGAAATTCATTGCATGTGAGCTGCACACTCTGCAGGGGCAGCTTTGTCATTTGGTAGTAAAAAGTTGTATGGTAGACAAAGGGGACGTTTGATAAAATTAAAAACTAAAACCTGAAAACTAAAACTTAATTGAAACCTAAATTTACTAAATTTCATAAAGTGAAATATGTTTGATAACCAGCTAAATTCGAGCACTAAATTAAAATATTTTATTTTGTTTTAAATTATATAGTTGAATAGTAATATTACGTTTTACTTTTGTATTATATTAACCTTTTAAATATCATTTTTTATACTAATAATCTGCATGCTAATAGGAAAAGTATGTTTTTTGTATGTGCATATGAGAAACAATTTGCAAAATTTAGTGTGAAAATGTCTATCTTCAAGAGAAGTAAAGTATATATTTTGTGTGTTTGATGGAGAGATTATGTTTAACAGTTCATGTTACACAAGAAAATACGTGTAGGAGAGGGAGAGAGAATATGTGTGTATGAGAGAGAGAGAGAGAGAGAGAGAGAGAGAGAGAGAGAGAGAGAGAGAGAGAGAGAGAGAGAGTTAAAACACAAACTAATCCTTGCATTTCTAGTTCTTTTAACAGAAGTGTTTTAACAAGAATGATTTGCATTTTTGAAATTTGAAGTAAGAAAAACTACAAAAAAAGAGGCAGCACAAAATACTAAAGTATATATTGTACTTAAGTTCTTTTACCAAACACCAGATACAAATAAAAGGTACTTGAATTTCTCTGATTGTTAGTCAATGGATTTCTGAATTAAACGCAAAAGAGAAATTTACATAACTAATCCTGTTAGCTAATCCTTTTATTTATGTTCCACTTTTCAATCGAAAGTTAATTAAACCTACTAAAACGAATGGAGTATTTCTAAGATACAGATAACATAAGGCAGATTTTGTTAATTTTGTGAATTTATTTTGGAATTTAGACATATTTTAACATCAAATTAGTTGTACAGATATTTCCATCCTATCCTTATAATCTTGGGGGAGGGGGACGGATGGGTTGGGTGGTGAAGTATAAGTGAGAGGTATCATATTCGAGTCCTCCTACTTATATCTAATCTTGAAATGGGAAGACAAAATGACACTTAATACTTCAAAGCATGCGATAGGATCCAAAGAAAATAGTTTCGATTCTAACTTATTCTAGGTAAAGGATAAGGAACCAGAAAATCCAGCATCATATAAGTTAAGAAGCTCCAATTTTTTCAGACAATTGCATTCTGCAGCAACAAGATGATCCAAGAACTCTTACAATGGGCAGATTCCACGCCCACAACCCTAATGCCTATAGATTGGGCTTTTTTATCTTTTCTGGTATATCTATACTTTATAATTTTGGTATATCACCACATTAAAAATAAAATTAACTAATTAACATCTTTCAGACTACTGCTCGCATGTTTGTCCACAGATAGTTATTAAAATGTAAACAACTTTGAATCTGTAAATTAAGCCACCCCTCTAATTGTGAACGTAAAATTGAAAAGAATAAGGTAATGTTAACAAATAAAGCTCACGTTCACATTTACAATTAAAGTTCACATTTAAGAGCTTTTAATTGGAATAGAGTACAAATAAATAATACTAAGTCATTATAAGTATAGATATTCATTTACTTCTACGTGAGAAACAAGAACTAAAACAATGAAGCGGAAAAGAAAAAATAGACAAACAGAAAGTCAAAGAAATTTACGTAAGGTCAAAGAAAGTCTCATAAAAGAATTAGGAAATGCTAAATTTCTTTCTTTTCGAAGAAATTCTGCTTTATATTCTTCTTTAATTGTTGGCCAATATAATATTTTCTTAAAATTTTGCAGTGACATTTTTTTTGTAAATTTTATTTCTCTACTTTTTTTTATGAATCAAGTTATTTTCTTACTAAAGTACTTCTATTATTTCTCGAAAGATTTTGGAGTGCAAGGACCACCTGTTTCATAAATGATATGTTTTGCACGTCAACAATCAGTAAACTTTTCTAAATTCTCATTTAGTCCATTTTATTATTTTCATATATGCAATGAGGAAAATGTTCCAAATGTAACGTGCAATTCACATGCCGTAAATTTTGTCTCTTTTTAATTGAAAAAAATAAATAGAACGACCAATTAATTATTTTTAGGAGTTTAGCAGTTCAGTTGACATAGGAAACACTACAGTAAGCTAAATTAGATTTTAGAAAGGTTTGGTGATTGGTGATTCACTTTATCCTGAGTAGGACAAAAATGTACTTGATTTTTCTTTGGTAGTTAGTGAATGGATTTCTAAATTAAAATGAAAAGAAAAATCCAATTACTGATCCTTCTAGAGTCACAAATAGAGCTCCCACATCTTATTCATGTTCCATTTTGCAATTGAAAGTTAATTAAACCACCTAAAACGAATGGATAATTCTAATGTTCAGCTAATCTAGAAATTTAGGCAAATTTTGTTAATTTTAGGAATCTATTTTTTTATTGGAATTTGGACATAATATACATCAAATTATAGAAATAGGGAAAAGTACACAGATAGTTCTGTCCTATCCTTATAATCTTGAAATAGAAAGAGAAAATAATGGTTATACTCCAAATCATGTGACAGGATCCAAAGAAAATTATTTCGCATCTAGCTTATTCTGGGAATGTAATTTTTTTTTGTTAAAAAAAAAACACGTATCCCAGTTAAACTATATGCACCTTTATCTCAAATTGGATATGCGTACCTTTAAAGGACAAGGAACCAGAAAATTGATTATGGCTCAAGTCAAGAAACTCCAATTTTTCGAGACGCTTGAAATCTGCAGCAAGAAGATGATCCAATTAGAACTCCTTGAATGGGCAGACTGCGGTCCAACAACTCTCATGCTAATGGATTCTACAATTTTATCTTTTCTGTATATCTATGCTTTATAATTTTGGCATATGCAACATCTCTCACAACTACAAAAAAAAAAAAAAAAGATTAACTAATTATCATCTTTCAAACAACTACTCACTTGTTAGTCTACAGGCGATTTGTTTTGGGCAAATTACACTTTACCCCCATATAGTTTAGTATTTTTTTTATACATAATCCCCCTATGGTTTTAAAAACTTTATACAATTCTCTCGTGGTTTGGATTAAAGTGTCAAAGTAACGGAATCTGTAATTCATAACGGAATCACCTAAAATGTCAAAAATGCTTCTATGTAAAGTTGAAAATTATTTATTAACCATAATGGGGGTTATGTGTATATTTTAAAAACCATATGGGGGTTATATGGTAAAATATTAAACCATAAGAAGGTTATATGATAAAATATAAAATCATATGGGATTAGTGCATCATGTATATTATGTTTATATATTTTCATCACTTCAGTCATTTTAAATTTTAAACAAATGTAATTTCGACATTTTTAAAGGTTCTGTTACGAATGATTATTTCCGTTACTTTAACATTTTAATTCAAATCATGAGGGGGTTATGTATAGTTTTTGAAACCATAAAGAGGTTATGTACAAAAATGTAAAATATAAAATGTAAAATATAATTTGCCCTTTGTTTTCTTTCTTAAGTCCATAGCCAATTATTAAAATGTAAACAAACTTTGGATATGTAAACAAATAAGATGCTTTGTAATTTGCTGCACATCACTAAAGTTCACATTTAAGAGCTATTAAATAATGCTGAGTCATTCTAAGTTTAGATATTCATTAATTTTTATGTGCTGAACAGGACCCAAAACAAATGAAGTAGAAAAGCAAAAAATAGAACAGACGCAAAGTCAAAGAAAATTGTGTAAAAAGGTTAAAGAAAGTCTCATATAAGAATTATAGATAGCAAGTGAATATACCTTCTATAGGAAACGATCCCTCTAAATCCAAATCACGGAGAGACAGCCTTTTAAGTTCAGTAATTGCAGTTATACATGGAATTATACTATTGTTGAAGTTGTTACCATCGAGGTACAAAGATTCGAGATTTTGCAACTTAGCCCAATTCCTGCAGCCTGCAAAAGCACGAGTCAGATTCTAATAAACGGACTAAATAGCAGAGAAACCCCTTTGGCTAATCCAATATACACATTTCCTCCTTATAATTTGAAAAAGTACAATTTAACCTGCATGGTTTTGGATCATAGCGAAACTGTTAGCTTTTTTTTTATTAAATTTAATAATCGAGCACTATCAAAGTTTTTAATAAAAAAACAATGACGAAATAATCAAATCGACCTTTGAACCATGTCATAAATAAATTATAGACAAAATTTGGTTTCAAAATATAATTCCAAAATGACATCATCGCAAAAATTAAATTTCATAATAAAGCTTTTTCTTCCCTACTGATTTCTGGCAAAAGAAACGCTTATTAGAGCTTTGCAGCGGTCCACCATGGTTCTTGCCGGCAGCATCATCCAAAGGGAGCTGATCTATTCCTTCTACCAAAAGAGGTTTTCGATATTTGACTCTAAATAAAATGATATTTGACTCTAAATAAAATGATGTGAGAGGTAAAATTTTTCACACTTTTATACTTTCCACGTCGGCAAAGATATAAATGTTTGCTGTTCGTTTTTGTCTTCAAAGTTAACTACTATGCATAAAACTTGATGTAAGTGGTAAAATTGTTGTACATTACACAAACTAATTTGTAACCGGTCACCCATTGAATTGAAAACTATTTGATAAATAAATAAGACACACTATCAAAAAACGTGGAAGTAAAACTTGGTTGCTAATTGACTAAAAGAAAATGATGGTAAGAAGCGAGAGTAATTCAAATTCAAAAAATAAAAAGTATACTTTGTAATGCAATATCTTAGTCTCTTTTCTTGATCCATTCACTTTTTTCCACATAAATTGCCTGTTTTTTTCTTAGAGACATCAATTTACTCGTGTATACATTCCTTAATTATTGCTCCTAATACATCACGATAGGTTGATGTTTTATGCCTGTATGATCTATTTTTTAATTGCTATTTTTTCTTGACTTCTTTCAATTTATGATATATTAATTCTTCTTGTTTTGAAGAATTTAGGGATAATTTTAGAAACCTCAGGAGAGG